AAGGTGACGTGAGTCCATTTAGGACACACTTGAATGGGTTATATTACTGTTTCTCAGAGGTATTTCGCAATAAGAAACCAATGAGTAATGTGTTCAGCGAGTAATAGAGATTGCCGGAAAACATAGGAACGTGGGCAAGCCAGAAAGTGCATGCCATTTCCTTCACGCCTTCTATTTTTTTACTTGGTGTTAGCAATCACTTTTCATTAGTAATCAGTTTTGATAACGTCATAGTCAAGCTTTTTATGTCTTTTAAATAACCAGTTTTATTACTTAAAGGCGGAGTTTACGACGAAAAGATAACTTATTAGAAATAAGGGTAGAGGGGGTCAGCGAAGTAAGGATGAAGAAGAAACCATGTGAAACGGTCCGGAACCCGAGAAATGGGACCCCTTCCTTGTCCGTTGATTTCTACAGGGAAGCGACTCGCATCCCATCCTTGAGCAAAAACCCTACGCCAAACCAAGGCCCATTTTGTTTTTCTTGACGTATCTCCATGCTTTTTTGTCATTGGCGTACCATTTCCGGCCCCCGTCCCTTTCAAACCCCTCCCGCTACAAGATACTAACAGTGGAAGAAAGCGGGCACGGCAAAAACGGATGTATGTCGTAACGGCGCCGTAGCAAAGGTGCTACAGTTGGATAGAAAAAAGGTGAAGCTAGTGATTCACGGTTTTGCCACAGGGTACCTAGCTTCGAACGAGTTCTCTGTACAACCCTAAAGCTCGCTTCTCGACTCGCTGATTGTTTGATCTCAGGACGTTGTGTGCATTACCGTCCATGTCCAGCCTGTATGATGATATGAATTTACAGAATCATCGCAATCCACTTCCACATTCAGCGGAGTGGATTGCGATGATTCTGTAGCTCCTATCCAGGCTCTTGAACCCTCGATTCCCTACTTGGATGAGTTCAAAGTAGTGAAAATGACACAGGTCGGCGGATACGATTTCAAGGGTGATTTGAACCACTATTAAAGGACGTCCCCCAGGATGTGGTGATCTTTTTCAACTCTTCTTTGCATGCTATAGGGGCTCTCGGATTACAAACTTAGGTTCAGTTCCGCTGAGCGGCTCCCTTGAGGGTCAGAAGCGAATCGACAATTTTGCATGGAGAGGGTGATTTTACAGCACTCGAGCAATTTAGCGAAGAGAACCCGCTCTGGTACTGAATATGACACCTACGATTGGTGCTGGCGCTATATGGAGGTAAGTTATGAGCTCCATCCTAAAATGCAACAATTTTTGTCACTGCTGGGAATCGAACTGTGGACCATTTCTTTACCACTTTTCGGCCTTCACGAAGCCGTTCATCAGAAGGTCTTGGTTTTGAAGCCACTAATGGGTCACTGTAACATACAGAAAATTATTTTGAAAACGATGTGTCCTTCTCGCGACTGCAAAGTGCGCAAGAAGAGCGCCGTGGAAATTTTATTTCCGCTTTCCTATTGTCTCGATTCCTCTCACTTTTTCTCACAGCCGATCCATTTCAGACCTCTGTGCTCCTTTTCATGAAGGAAGGAAATCGGTTGGACCGTGGGTGTGCCCTTAACAAGACAATGCATAAAGCTGAAGATCTCAACTGCACAAACGATCACCTGCATAAATTCCAATACCTCATCAGCTGTCGAAGTCAATACAATCTTTATGCGAGATCACAACATATGAACAATGACGTGACCCATAGGCTCCATTTCCCGTGTTAAAAAGGTCATCCGAAGGGATACTGAACAATCTACCTTCATCCATTTCCTTCGCCCATATCCATCGGTTCATTTTCGTCTCGCTGGTCAAGATACCCTGAAAAGATCATTTAAACCAAGGGAACTTACACCACCATCAATTCACAAATAATATGTATGTACTTTATAAATAATAAATAGAGAGGTTCAGCAGTAATCGCAGTTTGCAAAATAATCTTCTTCCCTGGATTTCTTCCTTAGCAGAACTCATGAGGCAGGAAGTATCAACGCGAACTTATCAACACTACACCCCAATAGCGCCTTGTCATATTGCGGTATTCGAAACCATCGTACACTGGTAATTAGCCGACCTTCATATAAATATTTACTTTTAAAATTCGAAATTTCAAAACAAAGTTCGATTAAAATATCCAAGTAAAAGTATTGAAAGGAGCAATGGCTTCGAAAGTCATCTTCATTCGAAAAAAGTTTCTACTAACGTATTTATGACGTTGACCTTTTGATGACTTATTATCGAGAAATTACCTGAATGTCCAAAAAACATACCCATATTATCATCTTCCCTTTCAATGTTGCCCGGAGAAGTCATGCCAGCTTGAGGAACACGATAACAAGCAACAACACCATCCTCGCCTCCTGAGACAAGATGACGCCCAGTTGGCAGAAACGTAATCGTCATCACCTTAACAAACTTTGATGGCAAAAATTAAATAACAAAAATTATATATTTAAACTCCGTAAAAATCGTATCACCTAAACAAACTAGGAATGGCAAAAATTAAGAAATATTTAACTCGTAAAAAATCAATGATTGGTTCGATATACTCTCAAGAAACGCAGCAAAGGCACCACTCACCGCTCCTGCATGAGGACTTGGCAGCCGTTGAAGGGCAGTTGGCTGCTCAATATGCCAAAGCAAAATCTAGAAAGAAACTCCTCAGTTTTTCAGGACAAAAAGTAACAACGAAAACTATTATTGAAAAGATACAGTGAGGTCTCAAAGTGCACACCTGCCCATCGAGACTACTACTCGCAAATCGAGTTCCATCAGCTCGATCATCGACCGACAGTGACAAAACGGAACTTCGATGTCCGCAGTAGACCCGTGTGCCACTTCGTTCGCTCGCCTCCTCTGCAATATTCGGCTTGGATCATGGCCACTTACAACCAGTCAAAAAAATCAAAATTCCAAAATCACTGTCTCCGAGTTCACTGCCTTTAGCTGTATGTATTAGCTGGCCGAAAGTACTCTCCATACTTGCCAAAACGATAACATCTTAGCCGAAGTAAAACTAAAGCTGAAGTCAAACTTACACCGAATGAAGTTTTATGGTCTTATCGTCAGATCCAGTTAGAATATCATCGTCACCAGGCAAAAAAGCCAGGGCGCGGATGCGCTTAGAATGTGCTGCAAAGAAAATTTATCATTCAAATTAAAGAGGAATCAACTATTCGACTGCACCTTCTACAGTTGTCTCCGTTTTCAACGTTGCTGCATCTATTATGTGCAGCACACCTTCAAACGTTGACACTGCCAGGCGACGATTGCTACTGCCCTATAAAAGATGTATGAATAAGAGTACAACAAAAGAAAACGTCCCTCACTTAAGAATCGCTTGTAATTGTTCAAAAATAAAGATTTCGAGCAAACCTGTATAGACGATCTAAACATAAAGACTGCATACGCAGTGACCGACGTTTTGCAGACCGCCGGGGAACGCTTGTGTCGCGAAGTATCTGTCCAGGAAGCGATTTCTTTCAAGAAAACCAGAAAAGGCAGCTGAAAGAAAGGATTACATTCATGCAATGATCATCAGCTGAAGCACTTTCTCAAGGACATACTTGTTATGTAGTTCGTTTTGCTTTTAGCGATTCTTACATGCCAAGCCTCCATGACTCCGAAGTCGTGAGGCATCACAACAGGACCTTCGTCGCCAAGGATTATTTCGTAAAACATCGAATCAACTGTCACAAGACAAATGCCTGAAATGACAACAAAACTAAGAAAAAAAACAAAAGAGAACGAAAACAGTAAAACTCGCATTTGCCGTCGCTTGTTACATCAGCAGATTGGATGGCGGTTCTCCATTCCCGTATTTCAACTTTGCTAGTTAGTGTGACAGCTCCGTTAGCTGTTTCGTCCCTAAACATTGCGATTTTCAACAAAATAGGGGTTTGTCAAGAATAACTCACATTCGCCAAAGCTTCACAGAGTCATGCCCGACTGTGACCATACCAACGATTCCATTTCCGGCCCGGAATGACCAAACACCAACTAAGCCACGAGAGTGAGCTGCAATAGAAAATTCATGAACAATGATGTTAGGTAAATGTTGTGCAAGTTGGATCGTTGAAAAATGGAGCCCCTTTGAGATTTCATCTTTGACTTACAAATAATAAGGTGGAGAACACTACTCTCAGCCATGAGTTATGGACAAAACCTTCGCCCCAGCCGGATTCCTACCCGGATCTCTTGCTCTTCCAAGGCAATTGTGCTACCAGTTACACCACCGGGGCACCATTTCACCCCAACTCAGCTTCGATGGTAAGTTTACCATGGAATATTTACCATTACCTTTACAATGCAAACTGCCCGTAAAACAGAATTATCCGATGAAAGTCAAAAGAAAAAACAGTTATTTCTCGCATTGATTACAAAAGTCGAACGAAACCCTCTATAACTCGAAGGTTTTTGAATTATTTGCCAAAGAGACAAACAAAATAAAATTTATTGCCTAAATTGCACAACATCCCGCTGAAATGTTGGGAAACGAAGCTGCAACAAATCATACACCGAAGTTGCGAACGCACTCACCGTCCAGTGTCACTTAAAACAGCTAGAGTTCAATAGTTGATACAATTCTTCCGTACTCAAAGGTTCTCCAAGACCTTGCGAAACCTTTGGCTTACAAATAATGAAGGGCCCAAAAGTCGCAGAGATGGGAAATTCGTTAGAAATCTTTCACCGAAATCTTCTTATGTCTTTCCTCCGGAATCCCTACAGATCAAAAAATAACCCCGAGATCTGTGAAAGCTCTCAGAAGAAGCATAACTTTGGAGGTGGATGGGGGTGGTGAACTGATGATTCTGCATGGACTACCATAACAACGCAAAGACACTCACTCCAACCTAATACGTTTAAAAGTTAGTTAGTCGTCTTTTGATGGACGATGACTTTGAGCAGGGTTACACCACCTTCATTTCGGCGTTATAGCTAGATTTGATCGATAAGAAGCGAGATAGGAATGGTGTAGCTGAATCTAGCGAGAACGTAAGTTAAGGCCGATGTCAGACTTTGCGAATCGCGCGATTCGCTAGCGTCCGCGGTCGCGTTGCGGTACCAGCCAATTGAGTGATTCACTGGCCGCGACGCGACCGCAGACGCTAGCGAATCGCGCGATTCGCAAAGTCTGACATCGGCCTAAGGAAGGACATAAAAAAGCAAAAGGTTGGCATTTGCTTACAGATGACCGCTATATGATCGCATCAATTTCATTCCGCGGTCCATTCCTTGCAACCAGTTGGCCGCCAACAAACAGCCTGAAAAAAAATGTACCTGATGCGTTTCATGCACTGATAGTCAATAAAGAATGCAAAGATCCATAAGGAACCAGTAAGAAGATATAGATAACATCTATGCTTGAATGAAAGCAGAGCGCACTTTTCCCTGAGTTGCATGTGACCCAACCTCTTTGAGCTTAGGCATGATGTTTAGACACACCCGTGACATTTTCATAGAAATAAATGAAGCTAGGGTCTATTCCAGTAGGCACATGCCAGTTAGAAGGCACTCGAAGCGGATAAGCATAATTCCTAGTGTAAGGTTTAGGACTATTAGAAGGGATGGGAAAAATTCCGGCTCTGAGCGATTTTTTTGGGACTTCTTCCCCTTCTCAGCTTAGTCCTAGACTGCTCATCCGCGACAATATCTGCCTTCACTCCCAGTTCCTCCTTACTAAGGAAGAACGCAGGGGTGGGCAGCATCCTTAATCGGATAAGTGATGCCCGAAATCGGGGGTGGCCTGCCCACCACACCTAGCACTCCAGGCATATTCCCCAGTCAAACTTTCTTGTTTTTATTGAGAACCAAGACAAAAATCCTGACGCATTTATCATGTATAACAATACTGTCCGCATTGCGCAGCGCAGTAATGGGATTCAGGATGCATTGGAAGCAAACGCGATGTAATTGCTCACTGAAGACAAATTGCAATATTTAAAATAAAGTTCGGGTCTATTCCAGTTAGGGGGGGGCATGCGGTTTAGAGCGCTCAACAAGTTAAAACCACGGATAGCATATTCCCTTAGTATAAAGGTTTAGGACTAAGCCTCAGAAGGGAGGGAAAACCCCGGGTTCGTGAGCAATCTTCGCTTTCTCGGGGAGGGATTTCCTCCCCCTTCCTAGGCTTAGTCCTAACTGATCACTAGGTAAATATTACTTTTCATTGACGTTTATGTTACAAAGCACAAGAACACATACATTATACAAAAACCAGAAGAAACAACGTAGGAAAAAAGCTGATAGCAAGTTGAAAGACTGGCCAAACTGGCATTAGGGCAGATGTGCACCGCAATGCCCCCCCCCTAACTGGAATAGACCCTAAATCTCTAGCACGACCACGAAATAATGATTTTTCGAGATAAGAAGACAAGACGAGAGCGATTACTATAAGGTATTGCTTAACAAGAATTAAAGGCATTCAAGCTGAACAATACGGTGTAATTGCGTATAGCAGACGGCTAATGTATCCTACGCCTAAATTTATTTGTTTGAAGTTACGTTATTACGCATACGGAGACGCACGTGAGAGAAATAACAATGCCATGATGTAATGTTATTGAACAAGAACATGCACAGGTGCTAAGTGAGTTTGGGGGGGGGGGACCATGCGGCGGCACGGCGTCTGCCAAGCGCGATAGTGCGAACTGACCCTTGAAGGAGGCTCAAATGTGTCAAAGTTGGATTCTTCGTAATCACAAATCACAATGTTCACAACCTACACTCTCCTTCCTGGGCTCAAGCTTAGTCCCATCGCGCTCGAGAGATCGCGCCGGCGCGTGCACGCCCCCAATTTGTCATTCATACGCAACCAAATCAGATCAGTGCTAAGTATAATTCATTGCTAATCAGTCTCAGAGAAGGCAGTCCATTAGAATTACGGTAGGGGTGGTCAGTGGTGCCGGGATGAAGAAAAAACCATGAGAAACGGCCCAGAACCCGAGAAATGGGACCCCTTCCTTGCCCGTTGATTTCCGCATTGATGCGACTCTCATCGGTGCTGCCCTCTTCAACGCTAACGCTCTCTCTGCTAAACGGCTAGAGACCTGCGGCGAGTGGTTAGCCAGTCGGTGGGCGTGCCGCGTCGATAGCGCCGCGGGGGCCATGCTAGATCGCCGGGGGCATATCCTTCGCTGCGAATTGCGTGTCGGTCCGCACCCTCAAGGGGGTCCGCCTGCTTTTTACCTTGGAAGTTTCCCTTCTTCGATCTTGGACCTTATCGTGGCATACTCTTCTGGAGAGCTTGAATTCTTAGTCTTACAAGTGCATTGGCTTTGAAGGAACCCCTAAGAGTTATATTTTTCACGGCTTCTAACCTATCTTTCGAATATTTAATTATGATAACTATGCAATAGCTATACGTTTCATATGACACCTACGTAGAGCCAGACCACCACGAAAAATATGGAAGCCCAGTCAATACCAATCAGGGCACTTGCACCCCATTCCTTGTATTGCTGATTTTGGCATGCCCTCTGATCTTGGAAATTTAACGTATATGGAAATCTGTGCTGCTCCAGTGCTGGTTCACCTGGATCACATCCGTTTAGATCTGCACTAAAGAGGGAAATTCGTCTCCCTCGCGGAAAGGAACGAGCAATAGGATGCGCGTAGAAGGGCGGTGGGATGAGATCGAGGTCAGACGTGGGACGACACCGGCTTTCGCTTGTTCACACTCAAACAATGCGCATCTCTGCACTCACACTACTTCTCCTTATTGGTTCTGTTTTTGCTGCTGAGAGGTATCCTTCTGATTTTCTATTCCTTATTTCGGTCTTTTGGCCAATTCCTTCTACATTTTTTCCGCATAATTTTTTTTACTGTTTTATGTAAATAATTTGGCCCGGAATATAAATGTATGTGGTCATTTAAGATCAACTTTCTGCCTAATGTTTGGAATTTCTGAAACATCCTTGATTAAGGGAGAGGAAGGCCATGCTGAATCTGAAGTTATGGTGTTACTGTAATGCGGAGTTTCTGAGTGGTATCTTTCCTATTCGTGGAGTCTTTTAAACGCAGGGTCCGAGATTTCTAATCGAAATCAAGCCTGTCCCAAGAAAAAAGCAGTGGTACGCAAGCGGAAGCATGTACACAACTTTCGGGATGATTTGACAAGGCCGGGCCAAGGCCCTAGGATGCAGCATTGGCTCCCGCCCAACACCATTGAGCCCGCCCACAAATCAGTGCTATTTCGCTTCGCTGCTACTGGAGAGGGGTTTATTTTCGGCCTTGTCGACGGTTTCTTCCCGTTTTTTCATTACTGGCGTTACACTTCACATCTCCACTGTCACTTGCAAGCGCAATAATACATCAGTTCGATCCCGGACCTTGCCTTTGAGTGCAGTTTACTCAATTCGAAGAATTTAAGATTTCAAGCGAAAGTGTCACAACCATTTGCGATAATTATGCAGAAACCGGTTCGCCGACAGCGATCATCGAGATGATGGACGGATGTCCATCCGTTGTCTCATGTTTGTTTATGCAGGGCGGTTTTCATGGTCGAAAGGGCCGTTCACACCCCGAAACATGTACTACTTTTGTTCTTTTTTTTGTTCAAAGAATTCTATCAAATAATCCGCTACATATTTTACAGGAAGAAATGAATGAGTGTGTAAAGCGGGTGTTGTTTCGGTGATGAACTGACCCACTTTTAGGGCAAAAAGGATGATGGATGTCTCATCGAGATCCATTGGAAATGTTCTACAAAGGGAAAAAATCCCACGGCGCGTAGCACTCAAGCACTCATGCTAAACTGTCCCAAAG